GCAATGCACTTGTCCTGTTGCCTTGACTGAGAGAGGTTTCTGATCAAAGGGAGGATAGATTCCAGCAAGATTCCTGGGGTAATATCTCATTGGAGATATAGTGTGTGTTTCTCATACCCCATTTTGTGTTTCTTACCATCATGTCATCTTTATTTTTGGGTTTTTTTGCAAGTCAAAAAATTTCAGTATAAGCAGTAGTCCTCCATGCTCTCTGAAAAAATCAATAAAATGTTGTCAAATGATGGTCACATTGTGACCAAAACTGTAAATAGAAATCTTGATTTATTCATTACTGTCAATTACTTCAAAAATTAACTTGTTTGCTAATACTTTTCCTTTTGGGGGGGTCATAGTTTGGATTGGATCACTGCTTGCAACTTCTGCCAAAAAACACTCCTCTTCATCCGTGTCTCTGACTTCCACCTTTATCACTTGGCTGTTGTGAGGCTTGTGAGATACATCGCCTCCCATTTCTCCTACCTCTTCGGAGGTGACTTTTTTCATAGTGTTATCCACAGCAGTTTCCATTTTCATGTTTTCCTGTAATCTGTTTTCAGCAGCTAATGTTGCAGGCTCTTCAAATCGTTTTAAGTGGGAGATACTGTATATAGATCCTAAAACTTTAAGGTTAAAAGTGCAAGGGGGGGAAGGGAAAGAGGGGTGCTAATGTCAGGGTGTCCCCTTCCCCTGCTCCTTTACCCCATTGGGCCATTTAGCAGCAAGGCATTCCCTGGGAAATATCCCACCCTCTGACTCCACCACCTCAACCAAGCTTCACAATCATCATTGCTGTGTACAGTATTCAATTGTTTAAAACTTATACTATGTATATGTGTGTGTGTGTGTGTATGTATATATAAAATATAGTCTTTTGTCTGGCGAAAAAAATTTCCCTGGAACCTAACCCCCTCATTTACATTAATTCTTATGGGGAAATTGGATTCGCTTAACATAATTTCGCTTAAAGTAGCATTTTTCAGGAACAGAACTACAACGTTAAGTGAGGAGTTACTGTACAGTGGTCCCCAAAGATACTGTGTGGGGTAGCAATATATGTCACAAGCATGATGTCTAATGGCCAATCAGAACACAGGACCTCTTAACACTGTTTTGTAATTTCCCTTAAATTATAGACTCTCCCTTCTCCAAGAATAGGGATGGGTTGAATTTTAGCCTTCAGATTTGCAGTGATAAGGTTAGATGAAATAATGCCCATAAGCACTTGCCAAGCAATATGATTGTTGTTTATCATATTAACTCTATCCTCAAAATTAAATCTCCCAACTCAAAGTACAAAGTTGAATTTTTTTTAATATTTGGAAGAACAGCTCATAGTCCTCTCTCCATAACCTAAAGAATAGAACCTTGCGGCAGCCTGCATGAAAAATCCTCAGGGCAGACAAAAAATTGCAAAGCACGACCTATGGGATCCTCCTAGAAAGAAAACGACAAAGCCACTGAAGTGTAGTACTATAAGTTTCCACCATATGGGATAGATCCATCAACAGTTCATCCCAGTCAACGTATCTAAGGCATCTGACAGATGTAAAAGAATCAGTATGATTGACGATCTTCACCCATCATAAGGGGAAGGTCCTTTACCAATGTAGCCTGTGTTCTAAATGCTGGCTAACTTGTAGATTGACAGCAATCTAGGGGCATGTCTACACTCAACTCCGGAGTGATCGATCCAGCGGGGGTCGATTTATCGCGTCTAGTGAAGACCAACAACAGTGAAGACACCACGGTAAGTAGATATAAGTACGTCAACTTCAGCTACGTTATTCACGTAGCTGAAGTTCCGTAACTTAGATCAATCCCTCCCCAGACCAGTACTTAGAAATCTCAGGCCCCCAACTGGCACTTTAAGACCTTGTCTACACCATGTAAATAACCATTTTTAGACATGATTTTAGCCAAAGTCATGTTGTAATATTTTGGGCGCTTTTACATGTGTAGACAGGGGGGAATTAAATTGTGGGAGCTGTGATGGAATCCCTCTTGACCAACACACCCAGGAATGAACCAGGGACTTCCAGAGCTAAATTAAGTGTATGTGTGTGGAAGGCACATAGCACATAGTGGGTACTACTGAATAATAAGCTTTCCAGAATTGCTACAAAAGCTGTAAAACACATCCACCATAGCAAAAAGCCATGTGGCCAGAGTCCGTGGACAAGCCCAATTAGTACCATAGCCAGAGTCTAGATACAGGCCAAAGGTCAAAGCCAGGTGGTCAGAGGCCAGGCTGGAGTGGATCAGTAACTGGGCTGGAGCAAGGTCGGAGTAGGGCAAGGACAAGACTGGAACAGGGCACAGGCAATGCTGGGGCAGGAACCAGATCGGGAAGCCTAGGGAGTCTACCACTGCAAGGGCGTAGAAGGTTCCTGGCTGGGTAGTGCTGTTGCACAGACTGATCTGCAGCTCTGTCAGGGATGGAGAAATACCTGAGTATGGGGGTCATCTGACCCAGGGTCTACTCAGGCATAGGCTGCTGTCGAATGTCTGAAGACTGAGTCACTGGAGGCTCTGTGGGAAGGATAAATTATTGAGCTGTTAACACAGCTCTGTTGGAGCAGAGTGAGCAGTCCTGGTTTGGCTTTGGGTTTGTCTCACATCATTATTTTTTTCTAGTCCTTTAATCATTTTTGTTGCTGTCTTAGGGGGGAGGGATAGCTCAGTGGTTTGAGCATTGACCTGCTAAACCCAGCGTTGTGAGTTCAATCCTTGAGGGGGCCATTTAGGGATCTGGGGCAAAAATCTGTCTGGGCATTGGTCCTGCTTTGAGCAAGGGGTTGGACTAGATGACCTCCTGAGGTCCCTTCCAACCCTGATGTTCTATGAACAGCAGACAATCATTACTGGACTTTCTCCAATTTGTTCACATCTCTCTCAAAGTGTGGTGCCCAGAGTTGGACACAGTACTCTAGCTAAGGCCTTATCAGCCCTGAGTAGCAGGGAAGAATTTCTTCTCATGTCTTGCTTATAATACATCCCAGAATGATGTTTGTTTTTTTTGTAACAGTGTTACATTGTAGATATATATTTAGTTTGTGATCCACTATAACCCCCAGATCCTTTGCTGCTGTACTCCTTCCTAGGAGGTCCTTTTCCATTGTGTATTTGTGCAACTGATTATTCCTTCCTAAGGGGAGTACTTTGCATTTGTCCTTATTGAAGTCCTCCTATTTATTTCAGACCATTTCTCCAGTTTGTTGAGATCATTCTGAATTCTAATCCCGTCCTTCAAAGTGCTTGCAATACCTCCCAGATTGGTATCTTCCATAAACTTTGTAAGTGTACTCTCTATGCCATTATCCAAATCAATTGTGAAGATATTTAATAGAGCTGGACCCAGGACAGATCCCTGCAGGATCCCATTCAATATGCCCTTCCAGCTGGACTGTGAACCATTGATAGCTATTCTCTGAGCATGGTTTTCCAATCAGTTATGCACCCACCTTATAGTAGGTTCATCTACGCTATATTTCCCTAGTTTGCTTAGGAGAAGGTCATGTGAGACAGTATCAAAAGCCTTACCAAAGTCGAGCTATATCACATCTGCTGCTTTCTCCTAGCCACAAGGCTTCTTCCCATACCAAAGTTAAGCTGACTGGTCTATAATTCCCTGGTTTGTCTTTATTCCTCTTTTTAGACATAGATACTATACTTGCCCTTTTCCAGTCCCCTGGGATCTCTCCTGTCCTCCTATGAATTCTCAAAGACTCTTCAGCCAGTTCCTTAAGTATTCTAGGATGTATTTCACCAGGCCCCACCAACTTGAAGACATCAAACTTTTCTAAGGGTTTGTCTACACTTTAAAATTTTGCGATGGTGCAGCTGCAGCGGTGCAGTTGAGCTGCTGTAGTGCTTCAGTGAAGACAGTATCCACCCAGATGGGAGGGTTTCTCCCACCGGCATAGGTACTCCACCTCCCCGAGAGGCAGTAGGTCAATGGGAGAGCACTGTCTACACCACAGGTTAGGTTGGTATAGTTATGTGTCTCGGTGTAGACCAGGACTAAGCAATTCTTAACTTGTTCTTTCCCTATTTTAGCCTCATATCCTACTCCATTTAGTATGTTCACTATGTTAGTCGTCCGATCACAGCTAACCTCTTTTGTGAAAACCGAAATAAAAAAGGCATTTAACACTTCAGCCATTGCTTTACTGTCTGTAATTGTCTTTCCCTCCTCCTTGAGTAATGGGCCTACTCTGTCCTTGGTCTTCCTCTTGGTTTTAATGTATTTGGAAAATATCTTCTTGTTATTCTTCATGTTCCTAGCTAGTTTAATCTTGTTTTGTGCCTTGGCCTTTCTACTTTTGTCCCTACATGCTTATGGGTTTTTTTTTATATATTAATCCTTTGTAATTTGACTTAATTTCCACTTTTTGTATGACTCTTTTTTGAGTTTCAGGTCAAAAATGTTGAAATGTTCCTTTTGACATTTTCAGAATGGATTGTTTCAATTGTTTTGTTTCAAAACATCTTTTCATTTTGAAATTTTATCTTATTTTTTTAAATCAAAATGAAACATTTCGTTTTCATCAGAATGAAATGTTTTGATTGACCCAAAATTATTTTTTTCAACATTTTCATTTAGTGGGAAATTTCAAGTTGTTTTATTCTGATTCAGAACCAAAATAAATTTTGAAATATCAGAACTTCCCATGGAACAGAAATTATGTGTTTCAACCAGAGCTACTGAAAACACAACCTAAATGTTACCTAAAGGCTCAGTAACCAGAAGGCAAATAAAAATAACTCAAATATATTATTTAAAATAAAAATCTCTTTTTTTTTAGGCCTGGTTCATGATTTCTGAATGCTTGGCAATGCTGAATGAAGTTCAATATTTTAAATAAATTAAAAAGCTGATTTAACATGGCACTGTATAAGTCTTGATTTTTAATTTAATTGTATTCATCATTTCATTTTTGCCTCCCTTCACGTTTAGATACTCTTAGCAAGTTTTTAAATGTTGCAACATACTGTAGTAAGAAAATTGCATCTGTTATTTTTTGTATTAGAAGTGGACCTGATTAGAACGAGAATACCAGAACTTTGGCAAAGTTCCGATCCTAATCAAACTAACATTGCAACTCTGATCTGTTTCTAATTCACACCACACACTGTTTTGATTTTTTTAAACATAATTTCTAACTATGATGGTTTGATAAGCAAAGTATAATGGAATTACCTTCTTCTTCTATTTTGGCATAATTCTGCCAATACTGTTGGCCTCTATAAAATTTTTGTGGGCATGTGATGAGGGATTTTATGATCAGCTCTTTGTTTTCCGTAGAAAATGCTTGTATCTCTTCAGTGACTTGACTTGCTTAATTCTGTTTATGGCTGTATGAGAAAATATTTGTTTCAAGTCTAATCTGTATACATGTAGGAGTTCAATATATTCATTATTTTTATTTTATAGCTCTCCTTATATTTCCTCCTTTCCATTCTATGAAGGACCCGAGAGCACAGGTAACAGATTCACAGCAGATCAGCAATTAAGCAGAAGGCAGGCAGCTGCCCTGGGCTCCAGGAAGGGCGGTGGCCAGTTACAATCAGGCACAGACACGTTTTCTGAGCAAAGTGAAAGTTATTCTCCTCTTTCTCCTATGCGCCATGGCGACAACAAAGCAGGTAAAAGATCTCCAAGAGGCTGTTATCTGTTCCATTTGCCTGGATTATTTTAATGATCCGGTGATTCTCAAGTGTGGGCACAATTTCTGCCGAGTCTGCATCACTCAGTACTGTAAGGACTCCAAAATCTCCCCATTCTATTCCTGCCCTCAGTGCAGAGAATGGTTCCGGAAAGGAGAATTCCATCCTAACTGGCAGCTGAGGAATGTAGTCGACATAGCGAAAAAAATCCCAGAGCCAAGGGGGAAGAAAGCCTGTGAAAAACATGTGGAGCTTTTGAAACTCTTCTGTGAAGTGGATCAAACCCCCATCTGTCTGGTCTGCAGAGAGTCCCGCAGTCACAAAGAACACTCTGTGGTTCCTATCGAGGAGGCTGCCCTGGATTACCAGGTAATAATTAGTCATTTTTGCATTTGGAACGCAACCCAGCCAAGGCATGCTTGAACAATTCAGACTAGAGCCATCTGAGAAATATAAAACCAGCAATGTAATAAAACTAGCTTCCTACAATCACACGGTAGAGAAACAGAAGGGATTTTATACAGGAAGAATGTTGAGGAGACACGTTTTTATGGCCTGCTCTATCTATGGTGCTTATTCTGATCTAACGTTGTCAGTTAGGGGTGTAGGATTTTTTTTAAAACAAAATAGTTATACCAGCAAAACCCCTAGTGTGTGAATACAAGTTGTATAAAGGTGCCTTATGCCAGGAATGCTTGTTTCCCTTTCCATACAGGAATAACCTATACACACTTTTATACAGGTATAACTACATCCACACTAGCAGGGATGTATGGCTTTAATAGTACCAGGATACTTAAAGCATAGCATGATTTGTGTGCACTAAGGGCAAGATTATCCCCCTTGTACGGAAAAATCCACGCAGGGGGCAGGAAACTACAAGTTCCAGCTCACACAGCTTCCTCTTAACAGTTGCAAGGGAGGAGGGGGAAAGCAGGGTTTGTTTTTCATACAGAATGGACAAGAGTGGGGAGCTGGCCACTTTAATAGATTTCCTGAAATTCACAGAGGCTGGGTGATCATATTTTCAAAATGAAGATCTAGGATCCTATTATGGGGGGAGGGAGAGGGAGAGGGGTTGGATGTGGTGCTGAAGGATCAAGGAGGAGTACACCTAGGCTTTGGCAGCTGGGGAAGAGAGAAGATGATGTCCACTCCTAACCCTGTTTTCCCCCCTCAGCCCCAAGCAATATCTGCTTTCTCCCTCTCTTCCCTCTCTATAATAAAAACCCAAGCCACATTAAACACCTTTTATAGCAGGGAGTCTTGAAAATGTAACTGATGTAAATTGATCACTGTGGTCGCAAGGATCAAGCAGTATCATTGAGTTAGTTGTGTTTGGAATGTGTCCCAGTCAATCATCTCATTGACTCTCCCAAACTCTCAGGCAATCCCAGTGCATAGGGGGGTGGTCAGGAATTGGTTATACTTAGGTTAAGGGGGAGGATTATTTCTCTGGCCTACCCAGAAATGCCAAGGCCAGTGATATACCAAAATGTGCCCTGCATGACAGTGTGGTTTGCAGACTGCTCAGAAAATTCATAGTGAGCATGTGCGGAGTGTGTCCACATGTGCACTGGGGGGAAGTGAAGCTTCAGTCAAGCCCCTGCCCTAAGCTTGGTTTGTCAGTGAGGCCTAGATTCACAGAAGTACTCAGGTGCCTAAACCCCAGTTGGAGCCTCCACTGCAATTCACAAAACGCCCTCAAAGCCCTATAGGCACCTAAACTCCCTGTTTTTCAATAAATAGTTCCCTTGGCACCTGTGCTTCTGCCTCTGGCCATACACACTGCTGCCCTGCTCTAGGCACCCAGGTGTGAATTATTCTCCTAAGCCTCAGAGCGATTCACTATCCTGAGGAAAATCAGTTTTTGGGCCCCACACAGGAGTTAGGTGGCCTGTCTGGTAGGAAGCCTCTGAGCACGCTGGGGTGATGGAACTATTTGTATAACGGGGGTGCTGAGAGCCATTGAACAAAACTGTAAATCCTGCATATGATGGAAACCACTTCAAGCCAGGGGGTGCGGCCGCACCACTAGTTCCAGCACCTATGGAGCATGCCCAACCAATCAGGCCCCTCAGGTGAGTTCATGCAGAGGTGGACCCTCTCACAACTTTTAGGGGTTAGGGTACTCACCAGGGATATGGGAAACCACCAGTTCAAGTCCCCCCTCCACCTGATGAGGAGAAGGGATTTGAACAGGGATCTGCCACCTCTCTATGGGATATTCTGATGTAGGGCTCCCTCCATCTTTCCTGTTGAAGCTGTTCCACTGGAGATAAATACTTAGAGTCATTTGGGCCAAAGAGAGAGAGAGAGAGATCACAAGCATGAGAGTGACTGTATAACCAGGTGGTTAGAGCACTCGCCTATGTTATTATGTATTTAATATTCTTGAAAATATAAATTAAATAAACGGAAAATCCTTCCAAAACACCAAAACTAAACCAGTTTTTCTTTTATTAGAACCAAATTCGGAGCCGTTTGGAGAGTTTGAAGAAAGAGAGAGACGAGATTCTGTCGTATAAATCGAGTAGGGAAAATACAAGCCAGAAACTGCTGGTAGGTGCCGTTATTATTCAGAAGCAAATGTGCACAGAGACATTATCTCTGCTCTGCTTTGTTTGAGTAGCATAAGAAGAATTGTTCCCTGCCATGAAAGACTAACTTATTTATCCGCATTGTAAAGAAAAACTCTTCTGGTTTAATTGAGAGTAAGCAGGAAAATGGAGCATTAAAGAAAGTTTTAATAATCCAAATATTTCCATTGATGATGTGATTCATTTGTTTAGTTAACAGTAGTTTCGCCTTTAGTCTTCCAGCTAGAGCTGATTGAAATTTTTCAACCATAAAAAAGTCCTGCAGAAAAATGGGGTTTAGTAGAAAAAAAATTCCCTCCTGGGAAAATGTCATTTGCAAAAAAATTGCTTTTTTTTTACAGGAAATTTCAGAACAAAAATGTTTATTTTCATTTCTAACAGAAATTTTTCGCTTTGGTTTTAAAAACCTGAACATTTTTCAAAATTTCTAATGTTTGTTTTTTATCTCTTTGTTTTCCCGTTTACTCCATTTTGCCACTGAGTACAATAAAATGAATAATTTCTAAGGTTTTTTTCTCTTCGTTTTCCCTTTCTTTTTGCCGCTTTTTCTAAAATGGGAGAAGTTTTGAAGAGTTACGGAGAGAAGCGAATAAAAGGAAAACGCGGGGTGTGTGGAAATGAACATTTTAGAAAAAAGGGGAAACAAAAATGTTAAAAATTTCTAAAAGTTATTTCAAGATATTTTTCAAACAAATTAAAAGTTGTCCCATTTTGAACACTGAAAAATGGAAGCAACTTTGAAATTTCAAAATTTATTGTAAATTCCTCCCCCATATTTGAACAGACCTAACCACAAAAGGACAGTGAGGGCTCTAGAAATCTCCTGCCCCAGAGAAGGCTGGTCACTTAAAGCCTAATCAAATCCTAATGAAGTCACTGGAAAGATTTCTATTGATTTTGCTGAACTTTGGAACAGGCCCTTAGTGATATTGCTGCTCGACATCGCCATGAAGATGAATTGGGTTCTAAATATGATCTTAGTTTCTTGCTCCTAGGGTATCAAAAGCTAGAGAGTGCTCCAGAAAGAGCATGAATTGGTGGGCTTCTGTCTAGTTCACATGTACACGTTTCTAAGTGCCCTGCAAACTCAGATTTGCACATGCAAATAAGTTTCTTTCCAGCCATCCAATTTGTACTCAGAATTCCTGTGTGGATTAAAATTGGAGATTTATGATGTGACAAAATTTATGTATCTTAAATTGTGCATTCAACACTCATCAGAGCAATTGTTGGTGCTCTAATTTTAAAGACTGTTTTAGAAAACATGGCCCTATACATCTGTGCGTATTTTGTGGAGAGCCTCTGTTCCCCAATTCAAGTCTAGCGCTTCTTAGTTTGGGTTCTACCGTTTGCTCCCCAGAAGTAATCCTTGTCTGTCTAGTTCTAGATCCCAAACCTGCTGTCCTTCCTGTTACTAGAAGGATCTGGTTTTCTAGAAGCCACTGATCACAGAATATTATAATAATGCAAGATACATTCATATTCTAAACACCAGTTAGGACTCTTGAAAATCTATTGAAAAATCATCTGTCTACTGAGCATAGAGTATGTTCTCCATAAAATATCAGGAGTTAAATTCTATGGGGTTGCAATGACATACTCCCATGTGCATACATAAGGCTTTATAAAATGTCCCATAACTCACTCTGTGTTCCTGTCCTTGACTTGTGCTATCCCTGTTTGTATCTCTTTATTTCAGAAACAGCTACAAACTGAGAAGCAGATAATTGTGTCTGAATTTCAGCAACTGCGCCAGTTTCTGGTGGAACAAGAGCGACTCCTGCTGGCCCAGCTGGAAAAGCTGAATCAGGAAATTGAAAAGAGGAGGGATGAGTATGTTGCCAAATTATCTGAGGAAATAGCTTCTTTCAGTTCCCTGATCAGTGAGATGGAACAGAAGTGCCAGCTGCCAGCAAGTGAATTCCTGCAGGTGAGACAGTGTTAGAAACACCCCAGAACCTTTCACAGGGCAAGAAAATCTTCTAACCCTTCACTTGTGGAGTTTAGGAGTGAAAGGTCAGAACAATAATAAATATACATTATTTTTCCTTAAGAGCTTGATAAAATGCCCAGTAAAGTCAATGGAAAAATACTTCTTGAGTACAATGGGCATTGGATCAAGTCCTAAATGAAAAAAAAAATCTTCATTTGAATTCTAGTGGGAGAAGATTACTCCAAAAATGGCAAATTCCAAACTCTGTTCTCCCACTCTCCTAATGCAAGAACAAAGGGAAATTCAATAAAATTAGAAGGTGACAAATTCAAAACTGATGCAATGAACGCTTTTTCACATGTCACGTAATTGGACTGTGGAACTCATTGCCACCGGATGTCGTTGAGACCAAGCATTTAGCAAAACTCAAAAAGTGATTGGATATCTATATGGATAACAAGAATATCCAGAGTGATATTAAACCTCATGCTTCATTGCTTCAGCCAGTCGCTAACTATTAGAGAGCAGGATGAGAATGTGGGGGGCGGATTATATTACACCTTCCTTTGAAGCATCTGGCACTGTCCACCTTTGGAGACAGAATACTGACCAGATGGACCTCAGGTCTGATCCAGTCTGGCATTTTCTGTGTGCCAGATGCTAACTCCAAAAGATGAAAGATGGAACCAGTCTTTAATTATGGAAATAGCTAAGATTGAAGCTGAGTTTCCATTTTATGCCTGATTTGGCCACTCTTCCTACATACCCCCAAATAGGGAAAATATTGGGCTCATGAGGTCTCAGGCTGTGGTGATTTTGTCTGCCAGAACTGAAGTTGGTTAGGGAAGTTCATTACATATGGTAGCCTGAAAGTATAAGTAGTCATTAGAATTCCAAAAGCCTTCTAATGATTTTAATTTTCAAAAAGTGCCTCTAAGTAGCAAACAAGAAGGAAGGTGAGAAATAAAACGTAACATCCTGGACTTCTCTAGCTGATATCTAGGGTCAAATTCTCTGTTGCGACCAGTACCTGCTGTGGGCAACATTCTTCACTCCTCGGGTCTCCTGCATTGAACCTGGGGTGTAGGATAGTTACTCTGTACCCCACACCCATTGTTCTCGCCCAGCCCCAAATTCCTGTGGGTGTCAAGAAGCCCACAGGATGGGCCTTCAGAATGTTTGTGGGCGAGTGGGGAGAGAGTTTACAGCATGAGGGCAGCACAGCATGGAGGCATCCCTCCCTCTGGACCCACTGGAGTCTGCAGGAGGGGATCTTCCCCAAACCTGTGAGTGTTAGGGAGATCTTTGTTCAACATATCACAAGACTGAGCTCTCTGATTCCATGTGCCGTGTGGTTACTCAAATGTTGTTACACAAAGAGCTAGTGTGCCTCCCTTCCTGGGCCCAAATCCTGAACTTAAAGCATTTTTCCAAAGAAGCAAAGCCAACACATTCAAAGTTTTTGTTTGTGTTAATAAATAACAAATAATTTCACTTTGAAACTCAAACTGTGAAGACAAAGTGAGTCTGCTCTAGAGCAGGAGGGATCCTTAGTGTGAGATATGGAACTGAATTTCCTTTTATCTTTCTCCTCTAGGACATCAAAGGCACCTTGAGCAGGTACGTGGCTCCTTCTCACTCTCCCTTTCACTCCCCAATGCAGGGAAGGGATTTTGGACATGAGACATCGTTCCCCATGGTCCAGAAGTGCAGAGCATGGGGTTGGTTCCCAATTTCCCCCCGTTAAATTTAATCTTGGGGCTGTTGTCATTTTGAGTAGACTGCAGAATAGATCAGCCTGAGAAAAGAGTTATTTACCTACAGACAGGGGTGTTATTTATAGCGTAGCTGGTGGAATGGAGACCTCAGGAGATTGGAGATGGAGAATGCGTTTTTCATTTCTAGGTCATAGACTCCAAACTCCAGCGAGGTTAGTAGGAACGGAAAGTCAGTGCCATCTGATGACTATTCAATGAGCTGTTTATTAAGTGTTTCCTATTATGCAGTGAGCTCTATCCATGTGCTTAGTGTGGCAACAGATATGATTGAAGAGACGTTGCCTGTTCTAAGGAGTTTATAATGTGCTATTATCAGTAGTACTATGGCTAGGGTGACCAGACAGCAAGTGTGAAAAATCTGGACAGGGGGTGGGGGGTAATAGGAGCCTATATAAGAAAAAGACCCAAAAATCGGGACTGTCCCTATAAAATCGGGACATCTGGTCACTCTAACTATGGCAGTGTCTAGAGGCTCAAGGCAAAATCAGGTCCTATCATGCTGGGCACTGCACAGACACGTAGTAAGAGACAGTCCCTGCCCCAATGAGTTTACAGTCTAAATAGACACAAGAGACAAAGGGCGGAGGGAGGAAGGATTAAAATCAATTTAAGGGGACATTCAATAGAGACAAAGTACTGCACTTTGGAAGGAAAAATCAAATGTACGACGACAAAATGGGGAATAACTGGCTAGGCAGTATTACTGTGGAAAAACATCTGGGGGTTAAAATGGATCACAAATTGAATGAGTTGGCAGTGTGATGCTGTTGTGAAAAAGGCAAATGTCATTCTGGGATGTTATCACAGGTTGCTGTATTCACCGCAGGTGGTGCCTCCTCCTGGCTGTTCTGGGGATTAGCTCTCTTCCACAGCCAACATCTCCCCTTGCCGTCTCTCCCCCCGTTGTGCTCTCTCTCACTCTGCAGCCTGGTCTCTTACTCCAAGAGCTTCAGCTTCCTCTTCGTGACTCAGCCTCCAGCCAGGTCACTAAATGGTTTCCCCTTCTGGGGTATAGAGTCTCACTGGTCCCACTGCCCAGGCAATGCCACTGCATCAGTGGCTGGTAGGGGAGCTCAAGCCCGCCCACTGCTCCAGGGTCCAGCCTAGGGACCCTACCACATACAAGCAAAGTCTGCTTTCTCCCTGGGCTGATTCCTACTCACCTCCCATAGACTTTCTTCTCCACCCTTCTCTCTTATATGGGTTAGACGAGATGACCCTTGCAGTCCCTTCTAACCCTATGATTCTAAGTACTTCCTTCCTTCAGGGCCCGGATCCTAGCATGCTGTTCTTTCCCTGTTTCCCTCTTTCCTTTTCGAATGCACAGAGGGTGGCCGCAGACTTCCTCACTGCAGCCAATTTCTGTTGCCAGCTTCCTGGCTTTATACTAGCCCAGCCCCCACCTGCTCAGCTGAGCTTCATCTTCCAATCAGAGATTGCTTCTCTGGCCTAAACCACTCATGTGTGGCCCATCTCACTAATCTCCTCTTTCTCAGCTTCCTTCACTCTTTCTGGGGGCTGATGTGGGGTGAACACCCCACCACAGATGTATTAACAGGAGTGTCATATGTAAGACACAGGAGGACGTTGTTCCGTCCTTCTTGCCACTGTGAGGCCTCAACTGGAATACTGTGTCCAGTTTTGGACATCACACTTTAACAAAGATGTGGACAAATTGGAGAGAGTTCAGAGGAGAGCAACAAAAATGATAAGAGGTTTAGAATGCATGAGCTATAGGGAAAGGTTGAAACAAATGGGTATGTTTAGTCAAGAGAAGACTGAGGGTGGGCCTGATAATTGTCTTCAAATATGTATGAGGCTGTTCTAAAGAGACCAGTGATCAGTTATTCTTCAAGTCCACTGAGGGCAGAACAAGAAGTAATTGGTTTAATTTGCAACAAACGAGATTTACATTAGTTTGACGGGGTTCCCGGGGTGCAACCTGGACTGTGGGACTGCTGAGCCCTCCAAATCCCCAACCTGGGCTGCCTCACACTGTGATGCTGATGTCAAGCTACAAGCCTGCCAGGCCTTGCGCTGACACAGACACCTACGGGCAGGGACACGCCCAACTGTGTTACATGAATCATCTCCCAGCCATTGATGAACCAGCAATAGAAAGGCACCAGCCAGTTCCCCCCAGCTCCAGCCCTACACCGCAGAACTGTACCACCTTACACTGCTCAAGGCTCCCTTGGGCAGTGCAGGTTCATTAAGTAGTTTGCTGCTCCCTCAGTGTGGAGTGGACACACACTAGCCTTTGTAAGTTGAGAACCCCTGTGCTAGTGGACTGACCATTGTATGTATCCAAAGAACTAAATAAGAACATAAATTATCTTTGAAATGGGTTAGTGGGTCTCACTCCAGGTCCTGGTACAATGTGTGTCTACATCACCACAAGGATTGTCGCTAATTATCTCCCTTAAATGATGTACAGGATATAAGTCAGGTGATCCTGCTTACCCACACTCACAATACAAGAACAAGGGGACGTTCAGTGCAATTGAAAAGCAACTAATGTAAAGCTGAAAAAAGGAATTTTTTTTACACAATTCATTGTTAACCCGTGGAACTCATTGCCACATGGTATTACTGAGTTTCATAGATGCATAAAGTTGAAGGCCAGAAAGGATCATAAAATCGTCACATTTGACCTCCTGTATATCACAGCACAGGCACTGACTTTCTCATTCCCCCAGGGGTGTTTGAGCCCCACTTGGCCCTGGGCCCTGCCCCCACTCCACCCCTTTGCCCAAGTCCCCGACCCGCCTCTTTCTGCCCTTCCTCCACCCCCTCACCTCCAGCATCTCCTGCCCGCTGATGAACAGCTTTTCCCCAGTGGGCGGGAGGTGCTGGGAGGCAGGGGGAGGAGTTGATCGACAGGGCCCGCTAACAGGTGGGAGGCACTGGGGGGAGGGGAAAGAGCTGATCTGTGGGGCTTCCGGTGGGTGCTGAGCACCCATTATTTTTTTCCATGGGTGCTTCAGCCCCGGAACACCCACGAAGTTGGTGCCTATGTACCACAGCACCTTAAATTTCACCCAGTTATTCCTATATCCATCGCAATAACTTGTATTTGATGAAATCCTATCGTGTGTTGACTAAAGCACCTTCCAGAAAGTCATTCAGTCTAGATTTGAAGACATCAACAGACAGTAATGCCTGCAGCTCCCTAAAAGTGGTGGGGCCACCGGTGCCCAAACCATGGACCCACCCCTGCTCTGCCTCTTCCCCTGAGACCCCTCCCCATGCTTGCTCCTCTCCACCCCCTGCCCCATCACTTGCCTTTAAGGCAGGTAAAATGGGAGAGAGCAGAGCTCTCCCACTTTTAAAAGTGATGGGGCCATGGCCCCCCTGTTGTGGCGCCCTTGTCAAGAGGCAGTTTCTTCCAATGGTTAATCCACCCGCACTCTTCAAAATGTCTGTCTGATTTCCCATTTGAATTTCTCTGGCTTCAGCTTCCAGCAATTGGTCCTTGTTATACCTTTCTTTGCTAAATTGAGGAGCCCTTTAGAACCAACTGTATTCTCCACATGAAGGTATTTATATCCCATACTCAAGTGCAAGGCATTTTTACCAGCCCTCAAATAATTTTTGTGGGTCTTCTCTGCACCATCTCCACTTTTTCAACGTCCATTTTAAAATGGGGACACCAGAACTGGATGCAGTTTTCCAATATCGGTCTCAGCAAAATGAAGGGGAAGCTTATAGTGTCCAAGCTGGTATTGGACCTATTCCTGGGGCAATAGAGAATTTAATCCTCCAGGGTCTGCTGAGCTACAACCATTCACTAGAATAAAACACATGTTAGTAAAAAACAAATATGACCGAACTCCACAATGAGTAACACTGGGTTGTTCGTCAGATGTGAGAGGGAGAAGTTTCAGAACCCAGTGGCCTTTTCTTCTGAACTGAAATGGAGAATCTGGGAATCTTCTCAAAGAAATGCATCTCTGGAGACCATAATGAAGAAATTCAAAGGTAATGAACAGTCATCTGGGGAATTTTCTCACATATATTACACTGATAATAGACAGAGCTGGGGAAATCTCTTGGGGACAAGGATTGTGGATGGAGATAGTCAACTAATCATTTGGAACCTATGAATTCCCTACTCAGCTCTCAATACAGCACATACACACTGGGTTAGGGTCCTAAATTTGGACTCCCTGGGGGTTTTCCTTTCCTAGCAACTTTGAACGTTAACCTTAGCTTGAACTTCCTGCTGAATTAACTGTTTTTGAAGTATGTTTATTTGGATTTTTTGTCTGCAAGTCCTCCTGTGTCATAATCCCTCTCTTGCTTTAGAGCAGGGTGAGGAACCTTTTTTCTATCACAGGCCATTGACCCACAGAAAAAAATCAATCCCGGGCCACTCACCCTCATGGGGACAGAGAGGCAGCGTGGAGGCTCGGGGCTTCCCCCCGCAGTAGGCCAATCTGGGGCTTGCAGCTCCAGCTCCACTGGGGGTACAGAGGAAGTGGTACTGGAACAATTTTTACAGTGGGGGTGCTGAAAGCAAAGGGTCCCAAACTTTTTACCTGGCACTCCCCTTACCCCTGTCTGTGCCCCCTCTCCCCAGAACTGGTGCCAAGACTGAGCCATGGGAGAGGGGGCGGGAAACAGATAGGAGTAAGGGGGCTGAGGCTGGGACCACAGCTGGGGGCGGGAGCAGAGCCCTGGGGGTGGGGCCAGCAGACCAGACCATGCCTGTGGCGCCGGGGGCAGAGCCCGTGCAGGGCTCCGGCAGCCAGCTGGGACCATGGGCGTGGGGCTGACAGCTGGGATCCCACGCAAAACCTGGGGGGTGCTGCAGTACCCTCGGCACTCCTAGTTCCCGCGGCTCTGCGCAGAGACTCAGGGCTTCCCCCCCACGGCGGGGTGAGTCAGCACTCGCGGCTCCAACCCCACAGCAGGGAGGGGAGGGGTGCTGCGGGCTGGATAAAATTTAGCAACATGTCATATCTGGACCACAGGCCGAAGGTTCCCCACCCCTGCTTTAGAGATTCTCCACCTTTTATCCTCCTGAGCTGGAGATAATGAGACCACCAGGTCTGTCAGGAAGGATGAGCCAGATTTACTGAGTACTAGTGGTACAGGGGCAGATTTAAAGTTGATTGAATGCTAATCAGTGAAAAAGTGTCTGTGTATTGGTCTGTCTGTGAATTATGTGTTGGTGTCAGAGGGTTTGTCTACACAGCAATTAGACACCTGTGGCTGGCCCATGTCCACTGACTCCGGCTCACGAGGTTCGGGCTTGGGCTGGAACCTGGGCTCTGCAACCCTCTCTCGTCACAGGGTCCCAGAGCCCAGGCTTCTGCCCAAGCCCGAGCATCTACACCACAATTAAACAGCCCCATTGCCCCAGCCCTGCGAGCCCAAGTCAGCTATCATGGGCCAGCTACAGGTGTTTAATTGCTGGTAAAACATCTCTGGGTATGTCATGTAACCTTAATGTTTGTGGTTATTTTTTAGTGATGTGTGTAATGGTTTGTATTGGTCTGAATTGCACTTAACCTCCTTAACTATAACTTCATTAAGTTTGTTTTCTTTTCATTTTGCTTTTTTGTTAGAACGTTAATAATGTGAATATTCATAAACATGATAAACATGATAACATGACATTTCGTCTTTTTCACCCGTTTCTTCCTCTAGACTCGCTGTCGTCTAGACAGCAGTTGGACAAAGGTAAATTTCTGGGACGAAAGGGGGAGTGAAAACTTTCATATGAATTATGGTGTGTGACAGACCCAGACCAGTGGGGTACAGGAGTCTGGTAGAGGGCAAATATACTGGTCACTGGATGAGTAGTTTTCTGTTCCCTGAGTGACCAGAGCAGGGGCTGCACTAGAGTAATCAGGAACCTGCTAGAACCAGTTAAGGCAGGCTGGCTAATTAGGACACCTGGAGCCAATTAAGAAGAAACTGCTAGAATAAATTAAGGCAGGCTAATCAGGGCACCTGGGTTTTAAAAGGAGCTCACTTCAGTTTGTGGTATGAATGTGAGGAGCTGGGAGCAAGAGGCACAAGGAGCTGAGAGGGTGTCCTGCTGGAGGAGCACAAGCATTATCAGACACCAGGAGGAAGGTCCTGTGGTGAGAATAAGGAAGGTCTTTGGAGGAGGCCATGGGGAAGTAGCCCAGGGAGTTGTAGCTGTCATGCAGCTGTTACAGGAGGCACTATAGACAGCTGCAGTCCACAGGGCCCTGGGCTGGAACCCGGAGTAGAGGGTGGGCCTGGGTTCCCTCCAAACCTCCCAATTGACCTGGACTGTGGCATATTGGCAGCACCATAATTCAGGTTTTGTTTCAATTTTGCATTTGACAGGAGCTGAACACTGTATTACTGGTGGCTACACAGATCTTTCCTAAAAACAGAAAAGTAGATTCTTTTCTCTATTATACTTTAGAATTTTTAAATAGTGGTTGGGTTAACCAGATGTGCTGGTGTGGAGGAGAGGGGGTGAGCAGTGTATCTCCATAGAGATCTAAGAGTTTACAAATGAGCCTTTTTGAAAATCAGAGAGGAACATCACACCTCATTTTCAGAACTCCTTATGCACATACATCACAACCCCTGGCAATATTATTATTATTAGCAAATGCACAAGTGGTACAATGAAGAATGGGAAAATTCAAAAATACAAAAATATACATTTATGTTTTATCTCTCCACTTTATATGTCAAAAGAAAAAATGTTAAAAATGTCCAAAAGGGTTAGGTAGACACCACCTATTAGCAGACATGCCAACTCTCATGAATTGATCATGAGAGATACGATTTCTGAGTAAAATTAAGCCTCACTCGTGATCTCACGATAGAGCTGTGGCTGAAAAAATATCCTGACATTTGAGAGTTCTATAAATGAGGCTTAATTTTACTTAGAAATCCTGTCAGCTGCCCTGGGTGTGGCTGGAGCGCCCGCTGTCAGTCACCCCAGTGCAGCTGCTCCCCTGGGAAGTGGGAGAGGGGACCCCACTGTAGCCCCCAGGCCTAGGGAGGATGAAGAACCCTAGGAGGAGCAAAGGTGAGGCTGGGAGGCTTTATTATGGCCTGGGGGCTGCAGGGGGCCTGAAGTGAGAGGGGGGCTGATGAGCTGGGGGGGGCTGTATTGATGTTGGGTTCTGAGCAGATAAGGTGACTGCTGGCAGGGTGAACTGAGGGTGGTGGGATAGGGATGCTGAACTGATGGGGCAGTGATAATGGGGGCTGGGGGACTGAATTGAGGGGGGTTGGATGGGGACAGAACTCATGGGGGGCCTGGGGGACAGGATTAATTGCTGGGCAGGAGATGGGCAGATGTGGCTAGGGGTGAAAGTGAGTCAGTAAGGGCTGGTACAGCGTACCGGCCCGTACGCAACCCACATTAAAGTGCTGCCACGTCAGTGCTTTAACATCGTTGCCCCTTTTGCCCCTCCCTAGCCGCCAACGGGGGGGGAAGGGAACAGCTGCCCTGAGGCCGGCGATTTAAAAGGGTCCGGGGCTCCGGCTGCTGCTACCGCTAACGCAGCAGTGGTCAGAGCCCCGGACCCTTTAAATCGCCGCTGGAGCCCCGGGCGGCGCAGGCCAGGCGGTCTGGAAAGGCTGGCTGGGGGACGCTCACCCCAGCCCCGCCCCTTCCGCCTGAGGCCCTGCCCCTTCTGGGGCCGGCCCCAGCCCCCATACCAGTAAGTCTTCCCTGTTACTTTCACCCCTGGATGTGGAGGTGAAAGCTCCTGCAGCAGGAGCCAAAATCCCCTTATCCAGTACATGTGGGAGAGTGGGCAACACTAACTGTCACATGTGCACGCCCTTGGGAGGGGCCAGGGGAGTTCAAACATCAAGAGACTGACCTAAAAACCACAATAGAATCCTTTTTAAAATGTCATGATTGTTGGGCCAATCTCATGAGATCTGATTTGTTGAAGTTGGCAATACCGTATTAGCCATTGCATAGCCTTGGGGCCAGCAGTGTGGAGTTTGGAAAGTCCCCGATAGACCAGCACAAGACGAGCAGCCATTCAGGAAGTGTGCGGTGTCCTCAACCACACCACAGCTACACAGAGTCCTGGAGCACCAGTGATGTCTCTATAAAAGCAGTTTTTCTTGTGCTCAGCTCGCTGATCTTTAAGAGGGAGGGGGCTCTGCAAGGAGACGGGATGTGAAGAGTTACATTGTTGGACAGGGGGACTTGGGATTCCCTGTAACCTGCTGGGAGCCTCCTATAATGCCAGGGTCTCTAATCACATCTGTGAGGAGAGGTGGGTGCGGATGGGGAAAGATTCCAGGGCCTGATTGTCAGGCCCTTTCATGCTGCTCTGTCAGAGCAAAGGGGCCTTAATGTGCCTGGAAACAGTCCCCAGAAAATAGCTCCAGTGCAAGGGAGCTACCCCCGTCCATGTGAAGCTGGCACAGGGGCTCTACAGCAACTCTGCTCCCAGCCGTTATTGTAGGAGTGGGTCTGGGGCCATGCTGGGGGCCAGGGCCATCCCTAGTGGGGTCTGGGGTGGAAGTGACGGATTTGTTTCTTCCGGGACCGACCGCGCCAGCCAATCGCACCAGCCCACAGGACCTCCCCAAAGCACGGGGCCCGGAGCGGTCGCCCCAATTCGCCCTACCCAAGGGACGGCTCTGCTAGGGGCATAGACAGGATGCATTACACTATGGCTGCTCTCTGTTTTGCAGCCCTGAGGCCCCTGTAACTAGGGGTCAGGTAGACTAAAGGAAGGACAAAGGTGGCTTAAAACTACTTCCCTCTAACCCCCCTTGTCTATACCCCAAGCACAAGGATGGAATAACTGAGAATCAGACTCTGGGTTTGGGGTCCTGGCTCAGCTGAGCTGATCCCTTCACTCTGTCACTGAACTGGCTCTGTCGGGTGTGAATCCCCCCTGCACATGGCTGAGATCTCAGCGCTGCTCCCCAGGCAGAGCTGGGGAAATCCTGGAGGCAGGAGGTTGCCTGATTCACTCCCCAGCTGGGGCAGGTTCTGTCACTGACACGATCAGACCCTGCCCCAGGGCTGAGCTCTGCCCCTCACGCTCTGATTCTCTCTCTGCAGCGAACGTGACTCTGGATCCAGATGTGGCCCATCCTGAACTCATTGTGTCTGCAGATCAGAAAAGTGTGAGATGGGGACCCACACATCAGGCTTTGCCCGACAACCCTGAGAGATTTGACACTGTTCACTGTGTGCTGGGCTGTGAGGGATTCACCTCGGGCCGACATTACTGGGAGGTGGAGGTGGAGATGGAGGACTGGGGACTCTGGGCTGTGGGGGTGGCCAGAGAGTCTGTGAGCAGGAAGGGAGGGATCAGCTTTATCCCTGAGCAGGGGATCTGGGCTGTGCGGTGCAGTGAGGATCAGTACCGGGCTCTCACGTCCCCTGAGCAGCGCATCACCCCCTTGTCCCTGAGCCGGGCACCCCGCAGGATCCGGGTTTATCTGGACTATGAAGAGGGGCAGGTGGCGCTTTTCGATGCTGGTCATGGGGACCCGATCTTCACTTTCCCACCGGCCTCTTTCGCTGGGGAGAGAATCCGCCCGCTCTTCTGGGTTGGACGCGGGGGAAGCTCTTCTATGCTCCTGCACCATTTCTCTCTCCTGGGCCAACGCTGCCAACTCACACTGTGTCCGTGAGGTGCCCTGTCTGTCCCTATGAAACAGGCTCCTCTAGCCCCCACCCTCCTGATCTCTATGACCTGGAGGACTCAGCCAGCCAGTCTCCCTCAGCACAGACAGGCTGAAGACGGAGTGACGCTCTACCCGTAGCTCTATGGCTGTGGAGGTCTGTGTGAGGCTCTAGGCTGGGTCTCTGTGCTCTTAGGAGGCCAACTCGGTGTGGAGTGGGGGGGGGGGTCCCACCAAGGAAGGATGGAGCCCCTGTGGGAGGGACCCAGCCAAGGGCCAGGGAGAGACCCCTCAACTGGGGGGAGGGGAAAGCAGGGGGGAGGCCTGGCTGAAGAGGCTCAGGAGAAGGGAAGAGAGAGCAGGGGGAGGCCTGAGTGAAGAAGCTGTGGGGGGGGGGGGCGGGGAACAGGGTGTTTAAAATCATATTCATTGATTGTTATTTAGCCACAAGCAGCTAATATATATTTAAATACAACTGTTAGTGTGTGTACGAGGTGCGAAGGCTGACATTTTCAAAAGAACCAAAGTGATGTAAGACTCATAGATTTTCAATGAAACTTGTGCTGCTAAGTAACTTCAGGTGGGATTTTCAAAAGCACCTAAGTCATGTTTATCATTGTGTTAGTTTTAATGGGTTAATATATTTTTCTGTGACGGGTTGGATCACAGAAACCCCCTTGGGAACTGCCAACTGATGTGCCAAGACTACTTCTGACCCTGCTTTCCCTGCCAGCCTGGGACTCCAGCACCCTGTCTTGTTGAGCCAGACACGCCAGTCTGCTCCAACAGAGACCCAGAGTCTGAACCACGTGCCCCAAAGCTGCAGGCTTAAACTGAAAGCAGCTTAAGGAAGTGTTCCTGTCTTTAACACTAAGATGCTCAACTCCTAGTGGGGTCCAAATCCCAAATAAATCCGTTTTACCCTGTATAAAGCTTATACAGGGTAAACTCATAAATTGTTTGCCCTCTATAACACTGATAGAGAGATATACACAGCTGTTTGCCCCCTCCCCAGGTATTAATACATACTCTGGGTTAATTAATAAGTAAAAAGTGATTTTTATTAAATACAGAAAGTAGGATTTAAATAGTTCTAAGTAGTAATAGACAGAACAAAGTGAATTACCAAGCAATAAAATAAAACATTCAAGTCTAAGTCTAGTACAATAATAACACTGAATACAGATAAAATCTCACCCTCAGAGATGTTTCTTTCACAGACTGGACACCTTCCTAGTCTGGGCACAATCCTTTCCCCTGGTACAGCCCTTGTTCCAGCTCAGGTGGTAGCTAGGGGATTTCTCATGATGGCCGCCCCCTTTGTTCTGTTCCACCCACTTATATATCTTTTGCATAAGGCGGGAATCCTTTGTCCCTCTGGGTTCCCACCCCTCCTTCTAAATGGAAAAGCACCAGGTTAAAGATGGATTCCAGTTCAGGTGACCTGATCACATGTCACTGTAAGTCTTCATTACCCACTTTTCAGCCCACAGGTATACAGGAAGACTTACAAGTAAAACAGAGTCATCTACAGGTAATTGTCCTGGTTAATGGGAGCCATTAAGATTTCAAACCACCATTAATGGCCTACACTTTGCATAACTAAAATAGGACCTCAGTTATATTTCATATTTCTAGTTTCAGATACAAGAGTGATACATTTATACAAATAGGATGACCATACTCAGTAGATTATAAGCTTTGTAATGATACCTTACAAGTGACCTTTTGCATGAAGCATAGTCCAGTTACATTATATTCACACTCATTAGCATATTTTTATAAAATCATAGAGTGCAGCATCACAATGTTTACCATTGTGTTAGTTTTAATGTGTTAATATATTTTCTAGAATAATGAATTTTCCCCGTGTAGGCAAACTGCTTGTGTTCTCCTGTTCACCTTATTCAAGTCTCCCAGTAAATGGACCCGAGAGGGAAATTGGTCTGTTAAAACTTTCTGGAAAGCTCTGGTTTGCTGTGTGAGGTGTATTTTGAGACAGAAACAAAGGGTTGGTTTCCACATGAATTTAAAATGAACAGAGTCCTGAAAGCCCAATCAGTTCCCTTGTGTCCACTGCCCAATATAGGATGTAAAGGCAAAAACAGAGGAGAAATGTAGGATTGATGACAAATATATGAATGATGCTGGATTCCATCATGCACAACATTTCCCGCTAGATCATCTCTTCTACCCCCTGTTATACCGTCAAGTAAATAATTTAACTGTGAGGGTGGGAATTACTCTGGCAATACCAGGAATATGAAATAAAAATGAACAGATCATATGGAAAATCCCCTTGAGATGCACTGAGTTCAAACTAAAATGTCCAGCATCTGTCACATCAGAGTTGTTTTCATGAGGTGCAAACTGTGTATAAAAATTATCATATTTGTTCTTCATGTAGCTCATTTTTCTTTTAGAAATCTCCCTGATTTTGCTGTAAGCAATTTATTGTATCTGACTTTCCTCCCAAAGTGGTCTTTCTAAAATGTGGCTAAATTCATATTTGGATGGTGTATGTTCATATTATTAAATTTGCTGACAGTAGAATTGTTACTGGTGTGACTGTCGCCTGGTATGAATCACCACTGAGAATGCCCAATTCAGGACAAGGCAGATACACCCCAAAACCGGATGGTTTATTCTATAATTAGATTCACCAAAACAGTAACAAAATGAGCTCTTATATCCCCACACTGGTTAGGAGGAAGCCAAAGCACAGTCCCCTTTTGGCATTCCAACTCCTGGCTTGTCCACCCAAACTGGTCTTTTGTGATAAATGATTACTAAAACCAGAAATCACATATAAAGTTCTTCCAATCCCAAAGCCACTGTCCTCAGGTCAATATATACTTTAGATCTTACCCCAAAATCACACTGCAGCCAATCCCCTTAGTAACTAAAAACTAAAGGATCATTAATAAAAAAGAAAAAAAGAGAGTTAGTAAATTGTTAAAAGAATCATATACTTTACAATTGATGTATAGGGAAATACAACCTAGATGGAGCTACTACAAGGTGGATGCATAACTGGTTGGAAAATGATTCCCAGAGAGTAGTTATCAGTGGTTCACAGTCATGCTGGAAGGGCATAACAAGTGGGGTCCCACAGGGTTTGGTTCTGGGTCCAGTTCTGTTCAATATCTTCATCAATGATTTAGATAATGGCATAGAGAGTACACTGATAAAGTTTGCGGATGATACCAAGCTGGGTGGGGTTACAAGTGCTTCGGAGGATAGGTTTAAAATTAAAAAAGCAGACGACTGGCCCAGGCCACCCAGATTCCTGGACGACCCGGCCCCACAGAAAGCAGATGACTGGCCCAGACCACCTGGACCCCTGGACGACCAGACCCCTCAGGAGACAGATGGCGAGCCCAACCCCAGCAGAGCTTCTGCTGGCAACTGAAGCCCCCACAGATCACCTTATCTCACCGGACCAGCAGGTACCCTTGGAGGGGGCGTGTGGAAGTGGCCCAGGGTTAGTAGCCCCTGTTTGGCTGCAACGCTGGCAGAGGGTGAGTCAGAATGTTGCAGCTTGGATCCCTGCTGATGCAGTGGCAGACCCCTGTGCCACCCTTAGGCCCCTGGGCTGGGACACAGTGGAGTGGGAGGGCCTGTGTCCCCCCCTCCCTCAGGCTAGCTGAAGGAAAGCCTGAGGTAACTGACTTTGGGTACAGGCCCAAGCTGAGAGACTTTGTTTCCCGCCAAGCTCTGAATCAGAGCTTGGGCTCATTAATTGCGAGCAGCCGCAACTGAGTGCAGGGGGGAGCTGAGAGACTTTGCTTACTGCCCTGCTCTGAACCAGAGCCTGGGCTCGTTAACTGCCTGCAGCCCCACCTGAATACAGGTGGAGCTGAGAGACTTTGTCTACTGCCCCGCTCTGAACCAGAGGCTAACCTGATAGACTATTTGCAGCTCCACTGGAGTGCAGGCTCGAGCCAAAGGACTGCAGCTTGCCCTGAGAGAGGGGCTAGACTATGGGCTCTAGTTCACCACTGAGATCTCGGGCCTGATCCTGCCATCTCTACTCTGCTGAATTTTAAACAGGGACAGTTTAAGCCGTGGGAATGAGATCCCCAAGTGAATACTTGGAATGCCCTGGAAAGACTCATGGAAGGACTCTAATAGACTCTATATCTAAACCAGGGGTCAGGTCAGTCCAGGGTCCAGGCAGTCCGGGCCAGTCATCTGCACTCTGCGGGCCTGCTGCCATCTCCCAGCATGAGAGTTCAGGGGAAGTGTCTGTCCCCTCCAGTGGCTGGGCCCCCATTCAGCTTCTTGGTTCCACCTTTATACTTCCAGCCCTACCCCTTGGCTTCGGGGGGGGGGGGGGCAGAGCTAGGGGGTAGTGCTCCGCCCATGATGGGGTGGAGCCACCCTCTTCCTCTGTGTCTGGGGAGGGCCAGTCCACCTCACTACAGGGTCAAGTGGATCACAAGCTAAATATGAGTCAACAGTGTAACGCTGTTGCAAAAAAAGCAAACATTCTGGGCTGTATTAGCTGGAGTGTTGTAAGCAAGACACGAGAAGTAATTCTTCTGCTGTACTCCACGCTGATTACGCCTCAACTGGAGTATTGTGTCCAGTTCTGGGCGCCTCATTTCAGGAAAGATGTGGACAAATTGGAGAAAGTCCAGGGAAGAGCAACAAAAATGAAATGAATAGGCAACAGATTTAAAACAAACAAAAGGAAGGGTATGTCTACACTACGAGAGTAGTTCGATTTTAGTTAAATCGAATATGTGCAATCGATATTAGAAAGTCGAACGTGTGTGTCCACACTAAGGACAGTAAGTCGACTTTGTCAGTCCACACTACCAGGGAAAGCGTCGACATTGGAAGCAGTGCACTGTGGGCAGCTATCCCACAGTTCCCGCAGTCCCCGCCGCCCATTGGAATTCTGGGTCGATCCGCCAATGCCTTCTGGGTAAAAAAATGTGGCGAGGGTGCTTTTGGGTAACTGTCGTCATCCGTCAGTCACTACCGCCCTCCCTCCCTCCCTG